CTGGAGGCTGCCTGAGAGAGGCAGGTTGGGGAGGTGACTTTCACTCCCTGCCCAGGCTCAAGTACCAGGATCCCTTGTCAGCTGAGCCTTATTCTGCAACGCTCGCCAGCCTCAGCACCACCTACCCGGCGGCAGGATGGAGGAGTTGGTGATGCCCACGTTGTTGGCTGCACTGAAAGAGAAGTTCTTGGCCACGCTGCTGAGCTGCACCTGCACAGTGTGGTTGGTCATCCAGGGGTAGCTCTTGGTGTCCAGGATGAGGAAGTCAGACGTATTCAGCATCACGTGCCCATCCTGGTCTGTCCAGGTGATGCTGGCTGGGGGGTTGGCCCGCACCAGGACAAAGAGAACCATGAAGAGACCCGGGTCCTTGGCCTCCTGGTACTTTGCATTCATCTTCATGATCTCTGGTTTAACTGGGCAGGGAGGAACACAAACCAAGCAAGTATGAGATCAAGCTGGTCCCTGCCCTTGAACCTAGTGAACTCTGACCCTGGAGCGGGGGAGGGCGGGCAGGGAGTGCAGTTTAGTGGATCGTTAGTGACGGATCCAGGTCACTGTCCTGCGTTCTCTGCACATCTGACAACCAGGAGCAGGGCTCAATCCCTTCTGGTGCTGGCTCCAATTAGCTGCCAATAAGAATCATGACAGCCTCCCTGCAGCTGGCCAGGGCATCCAGGGCACTGCACAATTAACCCCTTCCAGTCCAGCCCCAGTGTTCTCTACCTCCTTGGTGCAGACACACAAGCGTGGGCGGGAGGGAAGCCTCTCCCATCCCCTTGTGCCTAACTGCATAGGACCAGTGCGGACCTTCTTAACCTCTCCAGTCAGGGGAGCTGGTTCCAACCCATCCTCAACTCTCCAGAGAAACACATTTGGGGGAACCCGAGGCACCTCAGAACTCTCTGTAACCAGCTGCCTCTGCCTGCCGTACCCAGGGCTGCAGTCAGGACTGAGGGGCAGCACGAAAGCTGGGGACAAGGCAGAAGGGCTGGGCTAGCATGGTCAGGACTGGGGGGACCTAGCAGAGCTTGGGAGGAGAAAAAGGACAGAGCTGAAATAGCCATGGGCCATGGAGGGACAGAGGGGCACGGCTGGACTAGCAGAGGGGAGAGATGCCACATCAGTGTTCTTGGTCTCTCCCATACTGAGTTCTCTGGGCGAGGGACCTGGCCCACATGGAGCAGGAGCCCAGGCAAAGCCCCCGGGGCTGATCCTTACACTGCACGTTGAGGAGCACCGAGGCGTTGGAAGTCTGGCCAGAGGCCGGGTCTGTGAGTGAGCAGTTCAGTTCCCTGTCTGCGCGCTGCGCCGTCACTGTGAAAGTGCTGGAGCTCTGCTCAAAGGCCTCAGCCGAGGTGGTCACCACCGTGGAGCTGTTGGTCTCCTGCTTCTTGCCGTTCAGGTACCAAGTGAGCATGGGCCCGGCCTGCCAGCTGTCCACCTGGCAGGTGAAATCGCGGCTCTCATCCTCCTCCATGGTGCTCACCAACAACGACTGTCCATTGATCTTGGGATCTGGCTCCCCCATCCCTACAGGGAGTCAGGAGGGAAAAGCCATCAAAGCAGCACACTTGAGCCAGGAGCTTATCCTATACCCCCAACCCTGCTCCATACACACCAGGGATCCAGTTCATCCAACAGTGGAACAGGCCTAGTGCTTGGGGGCTCTGAATCTAATCTGGGCTGCACTGAGCTGGCTGAGGCAGCAGCTGGGGAGCTTGGACTCAGGCCAGTCCAGGACCAGGAGACTGCAACAGACCAGGTGAGGGAGCCTTGGCAGGCATGACCTCTAGGAGCCTCCTCCCTCACCACCAAAGCCCAAAGCAGGGGCCTTGGTTTAGTTCCTGTTGACTCAGTTTCAGGGGGCCCCTCACAAGCTGGGATGGAGAAAGGGGGCAAGTCCAGCCCCAGCAATGCACGGACACACCATGCACAGGGCCCATGTCTGCCCCCCCCCCCGGCACGGGGACTGCCCTCCATGCAAGGGCCTTACCTGAGTGCACTAGCATCTCAACGTGCAGCAACAGCAGCATGTGCGAGAGGGCGGCACGGCAGCTGGGCGGGTGCCTGGTGGGCCCCATCTCTGCTCCGGTTGGGTCCCCAATTTCATCAGTGCCCCGGCGCTAGGAGAGAGTCAGACGGTACCTGGGTGCTGCTCTTCACGTGGCTTCTGAGGGAATCGGCCCATCGTGAACTCGGGCCTGTGGCCGAGCGAGAGGCGAACACAGCGCATCCGCCGGGGGGTTCTCACGCATCTGCGCTGGGCACCGGCACTAGGGGATGAACTGGTCCCATGCGGCCCCCACTGCAACCCGGGGACCCCCGGGGCCACCGGCCAGCCAGGCCTCCTCGCTGCGAACCCAGGGCAGGGGATTCTCCGCCCCCCGTTAGCGCCC